AAAATCGGGGCTGCGATGCGGATCGGGCCTTGCTTCAACGCTTTTAGTTCTTTTCCCATGCAGAGGCCCAATCAACTACCACGCACGATCGACAACAAGCTCGATCCCGATCTTTTCCCGGAAATTTCACCCAGACATAGGCAAGAACAAAATTGTGGTTTGCTCGTACCGGGGATCCGGAGGGAAAAGAGGTAGCGAAAGAGGCGTCGATGAAGTCAACTGGCCACCAGAAGAAGAGGCTCCCTCGACCTGTTTTATTTATTTCTTTTTCTTTTTTTCGCGATTTTCCAAGATGATTGTGGATGTAGAAGGAAGACAAGCGTCTAGGGGAAGGTTGAGAATGAAAAAGGTACAATGGAAAAGCAGGGGTTGGAAGCACAGGGAAAGATAGGACGGGGAAAATCAATACCACAACCACAACCACAAGAAGTAATAATAATGGTAATAATCATAATAATAACAACAACAATGATAACAATTGTAGTACTGGCAGTAATCGTAGTGATAGGGGAGTCAATAATAAAAACAGAATAAAATAGACAATAATGGGAATGGAGAGGAGAGCATCCACATGGGCAAAAAGAAAAAAAAGGGTATAAGAAAAAAGGAAAGGAAAGGAATAAAATGAACACGATGGAGAGAGAAGGAGAGTATACTCCAATCACACTGAGCGGGAAAGTGGCTCACTTCAAGAAGTAGGCCCGGAAAGGTGGCATGTCCCCCCCCCAAAAAGGACGAAACAGCCACATTCATTGAGAAATGGGGACGGCGTCGTGCTTAGGGTTACTTGGATTAAGTCAGAGGTCATTTGGCAAGAGGGTGAAATGGACGGTCTCGATGGCATCGATGGCTTTTGTGGGAGGCCATGATTGGGTACCGGAATTCTGTCCCCAGCCGGTGGAATCCATGGATCTTCCTCTGACAGTTTAAAAAAGGGATTGCCAGTGATATTGCGAGGACTAAAGGAGCGTAGCCAACCCGCTTTAGCGGTATGAGTTAGTAGTAGGTAATGCTGTAGTAGTAGTAAATGAGATTGCTGGAAGGTGGCAAATTCGAGAGGGTCCTGCATGTACTGGTTCCGAGCGTTTGATGGGCCTTAGCCCGAGGTGCATGCGTGGCAGTGACCATCGGGATTGACAGCTGTAGGAGATTTATAGCTCCAGAAAAGAATTGATCTACAGCACGACACCACTCGCCAGCATGTGTCTTTTTATTTTTAATTTGTTTTCTTTTCTTTTTTTTGCTCCTTCATGGCTACAGTTGCCCTTAGGTCTGTGTCGACGGCGGTCACTAAGACGACGTACTTAGTACTAGTAGTCAGTTGAAGAATCGGAATTTCTTATTGGATGATCGGAGGATCTAGGCAGCGTTAAGAACTTGAGATGCATTAACAATCAACATCGTAAGGAAGAGAAACTGGACTGAAGTGTGTGGCAATTGCAGGTTCCAGGGTAGATAATTTGCAGGTCTTCCTTGAAACATTTACCGAAAAGAGAAGATGGCAATAACCAAAGATAATAATAGATAGAGAGAAAGTGAATGTGAATGGAAGAAAGACCAGATGAGTTTCGGGGAAAGACCGTTCGGGAAAGGGACATGCAATTGGAAAGGGGAAAGAGGTGGGGAGGAGGACACGGAGGGGTGTGTAGTTGGGGGGAAAGGAAAAGAGTATGAAAAAGGAAAAAAAAGAAAAAGAAAAAGAAAAAGGGAATGAAAGAAAAGGTAAGAGAAAACAAAAACCACTGGCCCGTGTGCATACAAACTTCTTCAGATTTGTTACTCTGCTGTGTTTGGGGAGGGGGTCGTGGAAGGATAGTAAGAGAGAAACTTAAGCCACGGCCAGCCCTAAGACCAAATAGACTGGAGGTGGTGGGGAAATAAGAACAAGGCATTGGTGATACTGCGTACCGTGATTGTCGAAGCTTCAAACGGTGTTCGGGATGGGTCACCCAAATCCCGTCATGGTCCATGGCTCATTGTTATGGCGGATCAAGGATCAGTTCACCTCATAAATAGTCATTCTGAGAGCTGATAGGAAGGAAGAGAGAACAACGGGGAGCGATTGTGGAGGCAAAAGTTGGGATGGGGGGGTTACTGTGAAGAGAGGAGGGGAGAAAAAAGAAAAAAAAAAAAAAAAAAAAAAAAAAAAAAAAAAAAAAAAAAAAAAAAAAGAAAGAAAGAAAATAATAAGAAAATAATAAGAAAAAAAAAAGAAATCCTGTCTTCATGGACTTTATTTTCTTTTTCTTCTTCTTCTTCTTCTTCTTCTTCTTCTTTTTTTTTTGTTCCCCTTCTAGTTCCTTAAAAGAATAGTATATAATGACGGATTCATTTTAATAGTAAAAATAATTAATGGATGATGATAGCAAAAGCTAACCTTAGTACCAAATAGTCTACCACCTGACCAGGCAAGGGTACTACATTCCCACTAGGGCCCGATCTCCATCCCGCCCAGTGAGCATTACATTACCTCTTACCTAGTAACTGTGTACAGCGTCAAAACAACCACTCCTGCTGCTCGGCTTTCTGCGGGAGTTGTGGCACGTATGCAGCCCATCCCTTCCCCCCTTTTCTTTTGGTTGTGGCTGCAGGCCCTGTAGGTTATGAAAGCCTCTATGGGGATGCGATCATCCTGCAGAATTCTTCTGCCTGCATCGTAACCACAAAATGAAGTAGCTTTAGTCCTCTAAAGTAGTACATGTTAGACTATGAAAGTCCTTCTTTTTCTTTTTGCCCTTGTTTATCCCATACAGAGGGAATTAGAACAGAAGTCAACTAGTGCTGTGTAAAGAATATGGATCCGATACAAGTGGCCTCTCTAAGTAGTAGTAAAAAATCTGGCACTGTTGCCCCTCTATGCAATGTATTAAGTACTCATACTGTTTTCCGGGCCTCCAAGGTTAGCTACTCTAGTAGTACTTTTATCGTCTGCATGGGAGAGATTGCACTTCTAGTAGGTACCAAGATTTGAAATCCGCTCAATCTATGGTACTTAGTACCGAAGGAGCTTAACATTGGTTTTCCCGCTGAATTGGTTATACTTTATATATATTAGCCTGTTTCGCTTTCGCCGGCTGCTCCTCGTCGGTTCATTCTTCCGTCGCCTGGAGCTTCTCCCCCTTCTTGTGTCTTGGTTCCTGTTCTTTTACTATTATTCGCCTCTTCTCTGCTGATAGCCTTCCTTTTACCCGTTCCTGAATCCAGCCCCGTCCTTTGAAACACAGTCTATTGCCTATTCGGTATCTGGGAATTTGTGGCACCGCATGTACCGGAGTATTTCGTACTAGCAGTGCTTCGGAAGGCTCCACATCTGATTTGGGGGACCGGATGGGATACCAGCCAATCAATGCAACACCACTTCAACTTCATCTCGTCCTTTTCCGGAAACCCCTTGGTCCAATCCGAGCCGCCACCAGCGGCGTGGCTGGGTCTCTCTTAGCATATGTCGCGTTCAGCACCATGGCAAAACACCCCCACTATCAATGCCTTTTCCGAGCTCTTCCTCTTTTATTTTCCCCCCCTTCTCTTCTCTCCTAGCTCCAGGCGCGTCTTCTGCCGGGGCCACTGTCATTTTTTTTTTTTTTTTCCTTCATTTTTTTTTTCTCCATTACTTTTTCTTATTTTGATTTTTTCATTTTTCGGGGGTTGATCCCGAACGGTTGTATGAGTCAAACAGCCACAACTAGTAGATAAAGACCCCAATGATCAAACCCAGGATGGGAAAATGGACGAGTTTGCTAGGGTACAGAAGTCCGGCGCAGAACCAATGATAGCTGCAGGAGGCTGCTGACGACGGTGCTCCTAAGGTCACGCTAAGCGGCAGCTTTGTTGAAGTGGAGATCGCGCTGCCTTTTGCGACTTGAGACCTGAATCCGTTGAAGTCGTTGAAACTGTCTCATTATAAGTGGTAGAGCTTGAGAAAACAAGACAGCAAGGCTTCTCTAAAGGCCCCTTTGGCCTTGTTGGGTACTTTCATGCCTTTTGGTACATGGCGTGTCCTTCAATCCAAGCTCCGACCGGGAACCTTTTCTGAGCTGTAAGGAGACTTCCAAGGAAAAGGACGAACTTCTGTATAGGCTACCTTTATATCCATCAGTATCAATACCAGCGGAGTGTGTCAAGGTGACTCTTTCATAAGGATAGTATGTTCTATAGGTGGTCTGGGATGTCAGCGACACAAAGCTACTGTGTGATGTGTGACAAGAGTTCTGCTCTCATGGCCTTGTTAGGATGCCTGAATGGTGCCCAAATGCTTAAATTCCTCTATTAGTTGCTAATGTTAGCATTGCATCCATCTGTTTCTGTACATATACATCAGTATGGGGATAAAAGATACCAGCGAGCAGGCGAATAAGTGTACACAATCACACGTACCACTAGTAGATACGTAGGCATAATATAATATCCTAGTATAGAATACTCACTGTCTGCTAGTAGTAAAGGGATGCTCCTCCAGTTCCAATTGGTAACCACACAATCTCTTCGCCAGAATTTTTTTCCAGCCAGAAATCCATGGCATCAATAAAATGTTGACGCCCTTTCTGATGTGGGAGAGATTCCCGAAAATCGATCGTTCCAGAACCTCCCCAACAGCCTCAAAGCTTCAACAACGGCGAATCAGCAGCAGCCTCTACCTACCTTTCTACCACAATTTGCCTCGAGCCTCCCGAAAGAAACGAGACCGAACAAAGGGAAAACCAGTCGATATGATCTTAACTATGGGTTTCACACAGTGTCACCCTTCACCGAGCCATTGGCTCGTTCACCTAAAGCTGTGTAATCACTAAGCATGCTTCTCCGGCCAGTTTTGCAGAGTCATCCATGCATGCTCCAGCCAGGTGTTGCAATCTACCCAGGATTGAAAGCCCCTCTTCCCTCTCACACCATTATTGGTAGCTGATCAATCTGCTGGAGAAATGTTTGAGATATGCAACACAGGGTCTGCACCCACTTAGAGTATGCGGATTCTTCATCCGTCTCGGCTATCATTCTGTTCCCGCTATACGAAGTTGTGAACTGTCACGACTATCACTTCCATAACTCACCAAAAAAGACGGAACCATTCGGCCCATTGCAGGCCATTTTCGAGCTATGAACTAACTCCTGTTGCATTAGCACGGACCCATCCAATCTCGGTGAAAGCCCCATTCTATCGACCGTGCCTGGTACCTTACTATGGAAGTAGGGGTGGTGGATGATGCGATGGGTATACACTATACAGCGGTTTCAACAGTGAGTTGATTCATGCACATCATGTACACCGTATGGCATGATCGATCAATCTCTCTCACAGAAAGAGGGGGGGGGGGGGGGGGAAAGTGGAATGGAATTTGCCACCCAAGAGGAGACAGACAGGTGGAAACCAACTCCATCATGGCGGGGATTGACATGGGACTAGCCAAGTGGGTAATGGATGTGTGTTTGTGTGCTGTGTGTGCTGTGTGTGCGTGTGCGCGTAGACTGAACTTGAATGCATTATTCAAAGCACACACCACAAAGGAAGCTCTTCTCCTGCCCCCTCCTCGGGCTTGCAAACCACAGACCATTCCAAGCAAGCTCTCCCCCCCTCCCCTCCACTCCAATCCATTATTTTGTCTTCGCCCCAAATTGGATCTCGAGATCATTCCCGACCAGGTGAGGGGGTTTGGAATCTCATCGAAGGAAAAGATTGACCGCGATCGTCCGTTTCTTTCCACCGCGGCTGCCCTCTCGAACGCCACGCCGAAAGCAAATGAATATGACGTCATCGGATGCTCTTGAATGGGGCCGCGAACACCTCGCATCCTCCAGCCTTCTCGTACCCCCTCCTCTACGGCCTTTGTTGATTCGAGTATTCGGAAAATGAGAAAATGGATGTGGGATCCCTACAGCCACGGCGTCGGTACCTCTGCCTGACTATGAATAACCCACCAATTGGTACCGGGAAAACGCTGGACAATCTTACCACGGGACGAACGATCCGCTCATCGATTTCATCATCGGCCGACTAAAATCAGTATACATGGCCCTGAATAACTATGCATGACCGCATCCGATCCGAATTTTAGAAGGGAAAGGTCTGACTACGGTACACAGCACACCCCCCAGGTCCAGCGCTGACTCTGCCACTGACTAGCATGGATGCTGTCTCTAATTTTCGTTAGTATCTGCATGCCACCACTCCATAGCACCAAGTCCCAGGCTCGTCTCCACAAACGGGAAACGCCATCTCGCCAGCTCATCCCCTTTGAGGTATTAGGCGCTGCGGTGGCTTGTGTAGAGCTACTGCGATCGTCCAATGGGGGCATCGGTGGCTCTGTAATTCGCACGAGGGGGGCCAGATAGTGATGCCTGTCGCCGACATCATGCGCGCTTATCAACTCGGCTCGGCGGCGGCATGTGTCCCTTCATCCGCCAGGACCGCCAGGCAGGAGGATCATCCTCATCCTGTCGGATACCAGTCACACCGAAGGACACAGGTCAACTACGGTGGCAAAAGCACATTGCAGAGGCTGCGCCAGCTGATTACCACCCCCCTGTTCAATCAGAAATCCCTTACAATGGATTCGCGTGCGCAGCTTTCTCTCTCACGGGCAAGGGCTCCACTACTACTGTGGGTAGTCATGCTACGATAGGTCCCTTCTCAGCCGATGTCTTAGCCTTCTTTCTACATCGCATAATGTTCTGTTCACCGTGTTCCACCATTTTGCCGTGTTCTGTGCCACTTCATTCTCGATGGCGCTGGCTTCGGCCTTCCGGCCTTCTTCTCATCCAAAAGGGCGAGCTCCATTCCGACTTATTTCGAAGAATTGTGACCGCGTGGCGTAGTCCACCCTATGTGTGAGAATTTTGCGAGGCGAGACGACTGCTCTCCATCTACTTTCTCTCTGGGAGGGTTAAGTTTAAGTTACCTACTAGCCATGGTCTATGACAGGCACGCTGCGAACTTCTTCTACAAGCCTGACGGAGATGGGATCGTGACTAATCAGGTGTATAGTCTGCAGTAGTGTCTAGAAGCTCATATACGACATGAATGTTCATTGATATCAGCATAGCAGAACAGGTTCTGGATCTAGACGGGTAAAAAGCTCGAACACAAGCGTACGATGCCGGACCAGCCGGATCTTGCTCGAGTTTACGTAGCACTTCCGAAGATGAACAGGGGACATCAGCTGACAAAAGGTGAAATGACCACCCTGCAAGATGAAGGTTGGGTAGAAAGAAAAAAAGGGCAAGGCAGAAAAGACTGAGAGGGTGAAACATGGTGGATAGTGGTGGGAGCAAAAGGAAGTAAGACCGGGGGTACTCCCCATGTGTCAGGGAGAATATATCAACAGAAAGAGACAAAAAGACTAAGTGTATATTGTTGCATACCGACAGAAGCATATTGTTCCGCCGGCAGCTATGCAGACTGCAAACGTCTCAAACAAGAGCTTCAACATCACGTCGTGTCTACTTGAGCTTCGTTATAATTACTATTAAGAAATAGTCCCACCAACATGCCTGGGAGAAAGGGCTCATGAATAATGTAAGAATAGCACTCACGGCGAGGACTTGCTAGCGGTCAATTCCCAGGGAGGCAACCTTTCCAGCAAACCTGGCCCCGGCACTGCCCCTTTTCTGTAGTTTCTCGCGCTCCTTGCTGTCTATGGAGCTCGGCGCTTGAGTTGTCGGAATGACATGGTCATTCCCTGCGCCCCGAATTGCAGGTACTGAACCGAGAGAATCGGGTGTAGCTTTCCCAGGTGATGGAGCAGCTGGAGGTGTGCCAAAAGCAGATACTCTGGCAGTTCTTTGGCTCAGATATAACTGAGCGGCTGATGAAAGAGGGATGGGAGGCGGTTGCGAGGGAATCTCGGCCCCGTTCTGGACCAGCAGCTCTGCGATGGGAAATGGGATGGCTTTCACTGTAGGTGCCCCGCTGGGTTTGACGGAGAGGTTTGAGGCCGCACCAGGTGATGCTGGATCCGCTGCGGCCAATGCAAGAAAAATGGCATGTGTGCTGCGAGAGCGATCTGTAATGTTCACATTGGCACGAAGGGCAATGCCATATAGCACGCCCTGGATGTCATTTCTTTTAATCGCAGCCAGAAGAGTCTCATCTGAGGTGGTAAAACGCGACAAGGGGGAAGGAAGTGGCTGAACAAATGCCCGTTCACTGTATTTGGCAGTGATAAACTTCAGCCGCTGCTCACGAGTAGAAGCCGCCACCGGCTTTTGAGCCTGATCGAGGGTAGCTTCCCAAATCATATTGCTGACACGGTTGCCAATCTGCAACAGGATTTCAACGATATCGTTTGAAAAGGAGTTGACGTCCAGTGTAAGCGAACGTATCTTAGAAATGTGTGTTCCAAGTGACCGGTGGATACCACTGCACTCGATGCAGAGGACAATCCCCAGATTAATTGAGACCCATTCAACCTTGGATGTAGACCCGCAGTCTGCACACCAATTGTTACCCTGATCTGCGTCTCGGATGGTTTGAAGCAGTTTTGAAGGATTTTCCTCAAAACCGAGACCGTCACCGCGTACGTAGCTTGGTCTTGCACCCACAGTGGTACGACGGGTGACACTGTTGTTGGACCCTGTTGACTGGGAGTGTTGAACAGTGTACGAAGTACTCTTCCCGGTGAGCACCGAGCCAATATCGCGGCCAATGGACGTGTTGTCATTGCCGGACGACACTGGGGGTGGAGACATGCCGCGGCCCTCAACGGCGCTCTGCAGCGCATTGTTGATAGCTCGAATCCAATTGGCCATGTCTTCCTCTGATGTTGCTTGATAGATGCGCTTGTACTGTGGTGTGATAACCTCGAAACAGAATCGGCGTTCCGCATTTCGAGCTTCTCGCACGGAAGCCATTCGCAAGTCGATAGGATCCATGTGCAAGTCCAGTTTCTGTTTCCAATTGCTATACTCCGAGAGCTTTCCTTGATCTAGAACGATCCAGAATCTGCGAGACAAAGATCAGTTTGGAAGCCCAAGTCAGTTGGAGTAGAGGACAAGCTTACTTATGCCAAGCCTGCTTGTTTATTCCCTTAGGGTCAATATGAGATCCTGGGCGCGACAGTGCCCAGAGTAAGCCTTCCTTCCTCTGCTGGCCTGCGATGATACCGGTTAGTGATAACGCTAATATGCAACTTGAGATGAAAAATGTACACTCCCCCAAAAGACTCCATATAGTACATACCGGTTGAACTACTGGTAGAAGCGAGCATCGAGGGACCGCCTGAATGGCTGCCAGAATTGGTTTGCGGCAAAATCGAAGAACTGTTGCTGATGACACCTCGCAGTTGGGATCCTGTGCTATCTGCACGTCCGAGTTCGTTCTCAGACTTTGGGTTGCCACCACCATTTCCTGAATGTACCGATGATGCACCCGCATTGGCCAGAGAGTCAGGCTCGATATACATGTTGCTGCTTTTCTCCAGATTCCTTCGCTTTTCTTCCCTTTCTGTCCGCTGGAACTGGAATTCTTTATCCGCTTGGTTCACCTCATGGATAAGTGCATCCAGCTGAGGAACCAGATCATCAACCTGTTTGGCGGCTGCCAGAAAACTCTTCGCTTGGGTGTCTGCATACTTAGTAAGATGGGAAAGAACCTCTTGCTCCTTACGGCCACCATGGAGATCCTGCATAAAGGACGAGTAGTCGAAGCGCTTCAACTCGAAGTTGCGTCGCTTTGCCTGATACTTTGAATCACTTTCCACCCGCTTCTTTTCCTTTAACGAATCCTGGCGTTGACCGAGATAGCGGCTAACATAGGCGTAGTAATCCCTGCTCTCTTCCTCGAACTCCTTCTTCTTCGCCTCCGCCTGTTTAATGTCATTGTTGTATAGCTTAACCAATGGTTCTATGACGAGCCTCTGAAGCTGGATGGTATTCAACCGCTCGTAATTCAATATTTGAACTGCAGTCCTTTCAAAGTAATGATCAAGGGCGGGCTGTATGGCGTTCGCGTTAGAGGTTGAGGCTTCCTTTAATGCGTTAAGAAAGGCTTCCACAGCTTCGTTGCAGGCAGTCTGTGCCTGCTGTGCGGCTTCGGCTTTCTTGAGGACCTTCTTTATCTTAGCACGCATATTCCCTGTCTTCTGTTCCAGAGCTTTCATCGTAGCCCGGAATAACGGACCATCCTCAACCACGCTCATGTCCTCTCCGGGACGCGAATGAGGAAGGTCGACTTTGACAGGTGGAGGCGGTGCTGAGACGTGGGGCAGTGTGGTTGTTGTATCACCAGCATCCGGGGGTGTAACAGGGACATTTTGGGAATTGGATGCGGCGTCCGCATCGCTAGAATGTGAGAGAACAGACTGCGACGAGGGAATGCGATTGCGGAAAGGGACATTGACTTCCAGATTTGGGGAAGAAACTTGTGGGCTTGGAAGCGAGCGTACTGTATTATGCACCCAAAATGAAAAATGAGCAAGGGTGTTCAACCGATTCGCTCTTTGATCATAATCCAGAAAGCTGCAGCTATTTCTCCAACCACCGCCCTTATCTTCGACCACTTTGGGGGGTTTCCATTTCCAGGACCAGTCAAACTGAACCGAGGGACTACCTGCGGTGGAGTAGTCTCCGACTAGCTGTACATTGGAGTTATTTTGCAAGTTGGGGTTGGCATGGAATTCTCTGGTGATCAAGTTGTCTAATTCCCTTGAGTTGGGCGCATGCGCAAACGTAAGGCCTGTGAGCACCGTGTCGGCGACTTCGGGCAATGATGTTGAGACACCATTGACGGTCGAATTCGCAGCGGTCCCCGTCTGTGTCTGTCTCAAGATAAATGTAAAATTGAAATTCAACTCGTCTTCGTTGTTCAATCGCAGAAGGAAGGTAGGCACAGGGGCAGACGGCGAAACATCGGGATCCTGATAATGGTCGACGAGAGCAGTGGTTAGCTTCTGGAAGGGCATGACAGGTTGCGCCTGTAATGGCAACGGTCTCAGGAGAGATTCAGCTGATTACCTGTATATATTCTATTGGGCTGTCGTCGCCGGTCTCACGCTTGGCAGCATATCTCGTCGCGGGGAACGAGTTCGGTACAAGGCTTAAAAGCACGCGCCGTTTGCTATTCGTTATGGTCACGGAAGCGATTGTGACTAGTAGGCGTGAATCGGGTTAACAAAGAAAGAGAAGGAGTCAAGGGCAAGGATAAGAACAGGGGCCATCAAGGGCGCGAGCATTTGGCATCAGCGCCGCGTGGACAGAAACTTACACCTTGACTGATCCTTGAAGTACAAGTTCCCAGAGTCATCTAAACGGCTTCCAACATTGCCCATGGTGAAGTTGCGGGACTTTTGCTATGAAGATCGAATTACCACGCAGGAGAGAGGTCAGAGACGTGACCGGGGCAGTTGAAGGTCACCATCGACAGTCAGCGTGCCCGCAGTCGGATCAGAGGCCGGCCTGACGAGAATGCGGCGGTAAATGGGACCACTCAGTAGAGTACTGGTCGTCATCCAGGCACAGATGCGATCGCCAGGGAGGCCGTAGTCAAGCGTTTGGTCGTAGATTGGAGCGCGAAGAGGGTCGGGAAGGAGATTCAGAGGGATAATAATATGCGGGAGTCAGGAGGAGTATCAGGTGGTCGCGGGCGGAAATCAATAAGGGCGACAAGCGGGGGCAGGAACGGGGGGGAAAGTCTCGTTGGCGGTAATTATCCCCGTTGACCCTCAGCAGGTAAGAGTACTGTAGTAGAATACTAGAATTACTATTAGGGATTGAATGGGACCGAATTATGTCGAGATTGATGGAAGAAGAGCAGAAGAATGAAGGAGTGAGCAACGACGTGTACAGTCAAGTTATTGCGGCATCGCAGTAAGATAGATGGGCAACATTATTATTAGTAGTAGTTCTGACTTGTTGACTTTGGTTGGTTAGTTCACTTGTTTTTTGGTGTATGTAAGACGGATGAAACAGGCGGGCTGGAGAGAAGAGGAGAGGAGATAGCCAGTAGCAAGTAGTTGGTACTTGGTAGATGGGAGGGGGCTGAAAATCGGGGCTGGAAAGCCTGAGGTATGTATGTATGTATGTATGTATGTATGTATGTATGCGTGTATGTATGTAAGTATGACTGAAAAATGCGTATATGTAACATCATTGATCCGATCCGGACTTCCTTCTTTTCTACACTACCGCCAAGAACAAGAATAATGAAAGAAAGGGAGATCTTGTAACTTACTGCATGCACTATACCACATAACTGTGACATGCCCCGTGTTTGATGGGTGACATTGGCTTTCTTTTTCCCCTTGGTTCTTTTCAGTGAGAGATGATAAGTGCCATATAAATACAACTTGAAATATCCTACATACAACATACATCCGCGGGGTTACCCATCTGATACCTCACAACTACATGTATTCTGTGCAGAAAACTAGCAGGAGACAGATAGAGGGACCATGCACTGGGGCCAAGATTGGCTCGTGTTCCTTTCCCCAACTGTGGGGGTGTGTTGATCTGACTCGTGATCTCTTAACCTTTTCTACCAAACGCAACTTGTTCCA